TTGCTGACATTTACAGATTTGACACTTTGCGTGTTTTGTGTTAATTTAATGAAACTAAATAAGATATGTCAGTTCCACATTTCAGTCTCAAAGCAGCTGTGCTGATAAGCTTTTTTTGTTTATTCCTAATTTACCCATGTCTAGATATGGTACTTCTACTTTTCTTTTTCTTTCAAAAAAGAAAGTTGAAATATTTCAATGTTGAAATGTTTACAGGATTTGTGATATGTTTTGTAAATATGTAGAACAATTATTTGAGTAATAATAGCTTCTATAGTTCTTTGTTTATTCTCTTTCATCATTCTTTTTTTTTTATTTCAAAGAGTTTTTCTTCCGCTGATGTTCTTTGTCTTTGTTCAATCATTCTTTAAACATTCATCTTCATCTTTTTGTTCTATATCCTTTAGTATAATTACTCAAAACTTGTCATCGTTCTGTTTTACTAAGAGAGGAAAAACATCAGCATTCTTTGAGATCAAACATGGGTTAGCTTTTCAGCTTCTATTTATGAAAAGAATAGAATAGAAGGATAAATTTTCTCTATTCTTTGTGTCAAGTGCTCAAGAGAAATTTGAGGTTAATATTGGAAGTAATTAATGTTATTGTTCAAGAGTTAAAACATTTTGTATATGTGTAGGCAACATCTTTTCTAAATGAACCTTCATTGTTCATTTCAGGCTTTGTTCACAGGAAAAGTCGTTTCAGTTTGACGTCAAAAAACAATATGAACAAACAAAAGCTAAGAATAAAATATGAAAATTAATAGCAAGAAGAGGTATAATTTCAAAAAGAGGCATATATTACAAGAAAAGAAAAAGAGAATAATCGAAGGATATTAATCTTTCAGAACTATCTTATAACCAGATGTTATACATATACAACCTTTCTATAGAAGACATCTATCTAGCTTAATAGCTTTCCTTTTCTTTCTTTTATTTTTTCGGATAGGAAAGCAAAAAATGCTTTCCTTGCGAAAGTGCCACCTCTATCCCTGTTATATAGACGAGTCCATGAACTACTTGAAAAAGGCTAGCGTTGGTATAATTGTTTATGATGTAACGTTAAATGTAGAAATACGGCCATAGACGATGCCTATTGCGATGATGGTTTCTGTTGCAACAAAAAGAGATTATTATTAGATAATCTTTAAAATCTTATAATAGAAAAATCTTATTTATTTTATTTATCATTACTAAATGAAATACATTTGAATGCTTCTCTGCAATACTTTGCTATTGATGGAATACAATGCATTTTTTTTGACTAATTCATTCAAAGATATAACATGCATATTTCAAAAACATTTTTATGATATACAACATGATAACCAATATCATTCTGATTGTTAATTTATTAAGAAAGAGTACACATTTTTGCATATTCTCTATTGGTCATGTTTTTTCGTAGATAATTAGTATGAAATTTATTCAAATTCCAATTCTCATTTTGTTCGCACCATTTTCATGGTTCTTAATTTTCTTATTCAAAAACATATCCTTCATAAACTCGATGTATTTGTATTCAATAACTAATTTTTTTCAATAAATTTTGCATTGCATTTTATCACGTATATTAATTATTAGTTTTTTTTTGTATGTCCTCTTCTCTCACGCGTATATCATGAATATAAATTACGCATATTAATTCTATATACAAATCCTATTTTATGAAATAAAATATTTCATAATAATCGGCAGCATATGTAAAGTGTTGTATACACCCTAATGAAAATCGATAAATTAAGCTTTGCAATGTAAATACGATTCGAATATTGTTTTATGACAAAAGTGAGCCTAAAAAGCGCGGTTCACCATACGATAAAAAATGGCTATTATGTTTTGACTATTTACCGATAAGCACTAGACTGTTTTATAATCGTTTAAGACATTGTTTACCACAGTCGGAATGACTATCTTGGATTATGTGATTTTATTATTCAAATGACGGGTATTTCAGAAAGAATGGGCCCCTCTGTGTTTAGATGAAAAGTTGTTTTGGTACCACTGCTACGTTAGTTGATGGATGTAAAAATTCGCACTCTCGCCTGCTGAAATGTCCGATCTGACATCGGTGATCATTTTCGACCAAGTAACATTAAGTGACGCTCAATACATCCAATATTTTCTTCCAGTACTACTACAATATAGACATGACATGTTCAAAACAGATTGAATGTTTTAGTAGGCGAAAGTGCGAAGCTTCATTTTCATCAAGTGATGCAGCAGAGTAGTGTCAAAACAACTTTCTCTCTTTTATTGTCAAGAACGATTGATCACTGAATAATCTAGATTTAAATACATCGTATTATTCAATTTGAGACGAATTTATATAGTTCTTTAATTAGGAAAAAAGTAAAGAAGCTGCCATACAAAAAATGTATCATGCAATTAAAATACTTTGATAAAAATTTTTTTGTACAATTGCTCAACCTTTGACTATTTATTTGACGGGTATCTTAAAAAATGATGCATTAATAAGACATATACCATTTTATAGAGAATTAAAAGATGAATCTTTATAAAAAAAAAAAAGAAAGCCTGAATAAATAGATATTAAAAAAGAAATCATTAAAATACAGAGAAGCCTATTCGTTCTGAAACATCCGTGATTATTTTGTTTTTAACCATATTCTACAAATAGGCGTTGCACATGGATGAATACAATGAAATACAATATAAGCACTTTTTAGATTAATTAAAAACAGGATGTTGATTCGAAAATGTTTTTATTATTCTCATGATGCATGCATGCTTGATAGTACCTAAATAATTAAAATATTGTCTAAATATCATTTTGATTCATGTTTTTATTGAATTATTGTATGATTAATTGAAAAGGAGACAAATTATTGAAAAATAGTATTTTTCGATAACTAGGAAAAAGAGTGCCTATTAGAGTCCGAACTCGATTAACAGAAAAATTTTAGACTCGGACCTCAAAATGATTAATATATTGTAATATTCACTAAAAAGAAAAAAGAATAGCGCTTTTTTTCTATCAATCAAACTCTTATTACAAAGAAATTCAAATAAATATGATCATGGATTCATTTTTATTGTATAGATGTAAAAAGCAAAAATCATACAATTAAAGTTCCAATTTAATGTTTTTATAAAATTCACTGTCAATACAATAGTCATTTAAAGTCGAAATTGTCATCGCAGTTTCTAATGATGTTCGTCGTTGCCATAAATTGTTCATAACTTGAAATTGTTGTATTTGACGTTGTTTTTCAGGAAAACAACAAAATAATAATCGATAAATCCATAATTGTTGAAATTCTTTTAAATAATATTTATTAGGTGATATGTAAATAGAAAATGTAAATATTTGTGGAATATAAAGTAGTAATAAAAATCCAATATGAAGACCAATATAAAATCTATTCGAGTATATAATGCAAGAATTAAATAAATATCGAAATATACCATATATACATAAACAAAAAATAATAATAAATGATGGTAAAAGACTATCGATATAGATAAGTATTTTTCGATGCCATATTTGTTTATGTTGCTTTATTTTTGAATAAATACATATAATACATAGCAAATGAATTATACATGGAATAATTATATAAAAATAAAATGTCGAATTATTAATATAAAACCAAAATTTTCTTAAAGGATATTCATAAGTACAATATAGATGACCTGTTTGATCGAATTTTAACTTTCGAGCAAATATTTTGTCAAGATTTAATATTGAAACAAGAATAAAAAGATTAAATAAAATGAATATAGCACATTTACGAGAACGATATCTATCAACATTAAAATATCGAGTCGATACATTTTCAATAGCAATAATTGCAGTTATTAGAATACTTATATTCAAGATAACAACAAATAAATATGGATGACCATGACATGCCCATAAACGAAGTAAATAACTATCATATCGAACAGCAATGATTATATTTGTTAAAAATAATATCATCATTAGTATAGAACATGTAGAAAACATAATTAAATAAACTCCACATACTGTATATCGAATACGATCACGAATAAATGTCATTAAGGAAAAAATATTACCTATTAAGCCAACAGAAGCTAAGATAATAAAGATAAAAAGATAAAAATAATGTAGTGATGAAATATCATGGAGAATAGCTCCAACCATTGGTAATGTAAGTGTATAGTTTTGAATCTCGTCGTGTTTATCACTGAAATATTCATTGGTACAAACACAGACGCTTGAAAAACATCGACCATGGTTTATACAATTGCTATCGTTCAAACACAGTTTCATTTGTCGTTCGTTTTCTTTTCGAAGAAAATCAGAGTGCTATAAAGAATGTTTTTACATATGAAGTATATTTTGAATTATATATTTTTTCATATTAAATAAATATATAATCTCTATTATTCTAGAGTATAGGCAGGTATAGAAAAAAAAAA